TCACTTAAGTAACTTTTAGAATGCCTCCCAAATACGAGGGTTGAAATAGGGTTCCAAAAAAATAGAATAGATAAACCAAAACCCTGGGACAATCTGTAAAACACAACTGTAACTATCACTTAAGTAACTTATAGAATGCCTCCTCAATACGAGGGTTGGAATAGGGTTGCAAAAAAATAGAATAGATGAACCAAAACCCTGGGAAAATTTGTAAAACACAACTTTAACTATCACTTAAGTAACTTCTAGAATGCCTCCTAAATACGAGGGTTGGAATAGGGTTCCAAAAAAATAGAATAGATAAACCAAAACCCTGGGACAATCTGTAAAACACAACTATCACTTAAGTCACTTATAATGCCCCCCAAATACGAGGGTTGAAATAGGGTTCCAAAAAAATGAAATAGATGAACGAAAACACTGGGAAAATGTGTAAAATACAACTATCGCTTAAGTCACTTAGAATGCCTCCCAAACACGGTGGAGAAAAACAATGGGTTCCGACCCCCTGTGTGCGCCTAGGATCTATTTGTTTTGCCGCCAAAAGTGTAGGATAAGCCACTGGTCACATGGGGATAGAATCCTTGCCAGGTTCTACTCGTCTGATGGAAACTCAAATACACACCGTGGCGGTGTGTGGGGATCATGGTCAAACCCTCTTTCTCCAGTTTCTGAAAGGCCTCTCTGTGGTGAAAGGCTTTCACCCGCTTCACTTTCTCACATCCCACAATCTCGGGCATGTCTTCGTCTGAAGAATTGGCAAGCACCTCTACCCCTATCTCGTGAGCTGCATCCACCTCCTGCTCAGCAAGCAAGAGGGCCTCTTCTTGATCAACCCAACCCTGATCTTCACATTCTTCTTCATCTCCGTCCTCAAAACCATGACCAAGGGCTTCCAAGGCTCCCGAGTCAACTCCTGCATTCAAGACCTCAGGAACTTCAGCTCCATCTGTAGCAGTCGCTTCAACCTCCAAAAGTACAAGCCGGCAAGCCGCCCCTTTGCCGGCTTGTGCAGTGAGTTTTTGGGGGTTCTCATCAAGATGAAGTCGCAGAGAAAACCAATCCTTCTGGATGTTCTTGAGATCAGCATTTGCCCGGAGCTTGTACACATGGGTTTGGTTCTTGTTGTTGAAAAGGATAACAACTTCCCTGCTGGAAGTCTTCCACTCATCGTAGTAACGCTGCCGCATAAAAGTCAGGTTTTTGCCTTTTGCCGCCCGTGATTCAATCTCTGTGTCCCATTTCTGCTTCTGCTCAATCCACTGAACGATTGCTCCTTGGATTGGGTCAGACACCCATGAAGGCAAAGGTTGGCGAGATGCAGGGCCATCCGGTTCAATAGCCCAAACCCATCTTCGCTCTCCAGGGAGCAGTTGTTCACGCATCTCCTTTGCCTTCTTTGCAAGCTCTGGGTCTGTCTCAAGACTCGGCACTTCCATCAAGGACAAAATTTGTTTCATGCTTCCACGGCACCTGCGCAATGCATTCTCCACTTCCGGCATGCTTCCTGTTGGCACAGATGATTTGATGTTTTCAGTGTAAAAGGCACGCATAGCTAAACCACTTAGAATGCCACTCCTGGATTTCCACATACCTAGGAATATACAATGTTTATAGATATATACATGTATATATATATATATATATGTATATATATATATATACGCGGATATGAATATGCACCGTTACGTACGCACTTGTTTTACAGATTTGTTCGAAAAAACGCTCATGTCCAGGAATCGACCCATGCACTTAGAATGCCTGTCCTTCAAACCGCCACTTTGCCACCTGCTCCTTCGTTGTAAATCCTCTGGCAATCCACGCCCACCAAATGAGCTTTCCATTCCTGTAAGGAAGGCGCGTGCTCAACTGTTCAACCGAAAAGGGGATATGTCTACAACAATACCATTAGCCCCAGTGGAAACATTGCATACGGCCATATTTGCAACCTGAACAAATCCAAGCACTGCTGAAAGCTCCTGCAAATCAAATTCAGCCCAGGGACTCAAAGTCATTCAGCGCCTTGACTGCGAAGGCATCTGCCCTGATGGAATTTGAAATGCTAAACCTTAGTCGAGGCGCCGGCATTCTAAGTGGAGTGGAATCGAATTTTGCCACTGGGCCCACATGTATGTATGTATATATATATATACATGTTTTCAGACAGGGCTATTTATTTATGTATATATATATATATATGTATATATATATATATGTATAAATATATATATATATATACACCGGTGAAATCTAACATAGCGTTTTCTAGCCCTGGCACCAACTCACAAACATAGCATCTGGCTACGTTGTCAACCCTGGGGATTTGGAGAAAGTGATCATTTGGGTGATTTCTGACAACACCTGCTAACATAGCCTCTGCTTCCGTCCTCCCAATGTTTGGCATTCCCCAGGAAGTGGGTAAAAGAAATGTACCAGAATAAGCTAACATAGCTGTCTGGAGACTTGTCACAGCTTGGAACCACCAAATGGAAAGTGCTATGTTAGCATCAAACTCCACGGAAAACATGTTTTAGAAAATGGGAAACCGAACGCATCAATCAATCAATCCAGAATGAAAGTACCCCTGGTTGCTATGTTAGGTTGTCTCTTTTGAGTCTCCAGCCGACCAGATCAAACCCAAACTGTTTTTGGATGCCTTTCTGCAGCTCACCCTTACTGGACCCAAAAAAGCTTCAAAATCAACAATTTTATATAATCGATTGTATAAGAAAAAACTCCTGGTCGATGTTGCCAATCTGGCTACTTGCTGCCATGATGATGATGATGTACTATTGGATGTTTTGGGAACCCTGGGCAAATGCTATGTTAGTAGTCCTGTTGCCAAAACTTTGGAAATCATGACTGGCACAACAGTTTTTGGATGCCTTTCTGCAGCTCACCCTTACTGGACCCAAAAAAGCTTCAAAACCAACAATTTTACATAATAGATTGAATAAGAAAAAACTCCTGGTCGATGTTGCCAATCTGGCTACTTGCTGCCATGATGATGATGATGTACTATTGGATGTTTTGGGAACCCTGGGCAAATGCTATGTTAGTAGTCCTGTTGCCAAAACTTTGGAAATCATGACTGGCACAACAGTTTTTGGATGTCTTCCTGGGGCTCACCCTTACTGGACCCAAAAAAGCTTCAAAATCAACAATTTTATATAATCGATTGTATAAGAAAAAACTCCTGGTCGATGTTGCCAATCTGGCTACTTGCTGCCATGATGATGATGATGTACTATTGGATGTTTTGGGAACCCTGGGCAAATGCTATGTTAGTAGCCCTGTTGCCAAAACTTTGGAAATCATGACTGGCACAACAGTTTTTGGATGCCTTTCTGCAGCTCACCCTTACTGGACCCAAAAAAGCTTCAAAACCAACAATTTTACATAATAGATTGAATAAGAAAAAAACTCCTGGTCGATGTTGCCAATCTGGCTACTTGCTGCCATGATGATGATGATGTACTATTGGATGTTTTGGGAACCCTGGGCAAATGCTATGTTAGTAGTCCTGTTGCCAAAACTTTGGAAATCATGACTGGCACAACAGTTTTTGGATGTCTTCCTGGGGCTCACCCTTACTGGACCCAAAAAAGCTTCAAAATCAACAATTTTATATAATCGATTGTATAAGAAAAAACTCCTGGTCGATGTTGCCAATCTGGCTACTTGCTGCCATGATGATTATGATGTACTATTGGAGGTTTTGGGAACCCTGCGCAAATGCTATGTTAGCAATCCTGTTGCCAAAACTTTGGTTTTGATTGAAAATCATGACTGGCACAACTGTTTTTGGATGTCTTCCTGGGGCTCACCCTTACTGGACCCAAAAAAGCTTCAAAATCAACAATTTTAAGGAAAAAACTGCCCCGCGCACACAGACGAACGCTAACACAGCATTTCCCGCTTGAGCTTACTTGATGCTTCACACGCGCCAAGTTAGCACCAAAATGTCCATGTCACACCATGTGTTCCCAACGCCAAGTTAGTTGAATCTCAGCCCCAAAACCCAAACACTAACATAGCAAAAAAATAAAAAATAAATAAAAAAAATCAACAGGTAAGATTTCACGAGAGTATTTGTAATTTATCTACATCTTCATCTATCACAGCCAGGGAACTTCTTTTGTGCGGATGCCTGTGTTGATTTTTGAAGCATGTAGATGTCTTTTCGCAGGTCGAAGTCAGCATTCCACTGCAAGCTGGACAGGGCAAAGCTTCTCGATACACTATGATGAAACATATGCCAACCATCGTTAGGTTGGCCCGTTGCACCCCAACCGCCAGGGATCTGGCACTGTTGGGTGTCTCCGGTCAACAGCACCTAAGTCCAGGAAAACAGTTCATAGTGTGTGTGTGTGTTTGTGTGTTTGTGTTTGTGTGTGTGTGAGAGTGTGTGTGTGCGCGTGTGTGTGTGTGTGGGTGGTGTGGGTGTAGGTGTGTGTGTGTGTGTGGGTGGTGTGGGTGTAGTGGTGTGTGTGTGTGTGGGTGGTGTGGGTGTGGGTGTGGGTGTGGGGGTGGGTGTGGGTGTGGGTGTGTCTGCGTCTGCGTATGTGGGTGGGTGGGTCTGGACCCTATAGTTTGGCTCGCATCCCAATATGACATATGAGGGCAGATTCAGACTAGGCGCCACGTTGTTCCTGGAACACCAGGCGTCCTTGACAGCCTTGAACTTGGACATCGAATGCTGTGTGGCACAATCGCACATGATGAGACACCTGGCTCCAACACCAAGTCCTAACTTCTTCCGGCGAAAACGAATTTCTTCACCGAGGAAATTTTCAAGGTAATCTACCATGGTGGCCGAATTCCAAATGTGTGTCCGCGTTTGAAGCGGACCCACAACCAGCCAGGAGTGCAACTCCTGCAGATTTCCCACTGATGCACTTAGAATGCCACCGGGCCCCCACAGTCCAGGGGATCAGCTACATGTTCAGCTATAGTATCTATATATATATATATTTGTGGTGGCGGGGCAAACCAAAAAGTCATACTTTTTTGATGGGTAGGGCCAAAAGCTTGCCCCACACGCAGTGGTCCTTGTTCAGCTGCATCCTCTGAGCCTCACTCAGGTGATCATTCCTGCATGTGATGTAAAGCCGGCCCAGGTCACCATCATTCCACGAAAGGGTCGTGCAAGTATGAGGGATCCGGTACATGTCAACTGGAGCATGGGCGACACAACCGCCGCTAATGGCTGCTGGCTGTACTTCCATCACAGAATCGCTTCCCATGGCTTCGGTCAATGGCAACCCCAAGCATCGTTCGATGTTGTGTCTCAAACGTCTCATGTGAGGAGATTTTATGCTGCAAAAAGGCTTCACTTGGAGGGACCTGCGTCGAGGGGTAAAGCTCAACGTCCAGGTTTGGTCGAAGTTTCCGACCATCTGCTCATGGATCTTCCCTGACTCACACTGATACCGAACCCAGTCGCGTACTTTTCCTCAGCTAGAAGGACGCTGGCAAAAGAAGAATGGGGATGATCACGAAAACAACCGTACGCCGTAGCAACAGGAGGTGCTATAGGGTTCTCAAATCGGTTATATAACAGAGAAGCCGAGTGGCTCATTGCCACATGTTCATATGGTAGGTGCTTGCCAGGTTTATTGTTGTCTGAAGGGGCGATCCCGCATGCCTTGCACAAGCGAGCCGCTTGTTTCCTTAGAAGCGCGGCGAAGTTGCAAACAGCCACCCATTCCCTCTCCTCCCTCGCCCAAACAGAATCTGCACTTAGAATGCCTGCTGCACAAGGATTTGACATCTGAAGCAGAAATTAAAACATATATCTATGAATCTATCCGTCTGTTTTCTCTAAAAAAAATATTGGTTTGCAGGAGAGCATCAAAAAAAGACCATCCTTGCTAGTCAGCTTGACCTTTTTCAAAGAGCGCAGCCTAGCTGTGATATTCTCCAAGGCCTTCTTAATCTCTGATTCGGATTCCGCCTCTGGGAAATCATCATTCAGCTCCTTCAGAACTCTCTCCTGGAACCGCTCGCCACCGACATCAAGGGACGTCGTCAGAGCTGTGAGTGCGTGATTCCAAAGGTCAATGCCCACCGACAAAGCAGAGGCGACGTAACTGTAGTCCAGTTCCTCCCCTGTCTCGATGCGCTCCACCTGTCATTGGCAGCTAGCAAAATGACACACGGACAAAGAAAGAAAGAACAACAGAGACAAATTAACTAGTGAAACCAACAGTTTCACAGCTTTATCTATATAGGCGGAAAACCTACGCACACAGATAGACAGATAGATAGGTAGATAGATAGATAGATAGACAGATAGATAGATAGACAGATAGATAGATAGATAGAGAGATATATATATATATATTTATTTATATATATATAATTTTCGGGAAAAACAAGTCAAGAAAATGGATCGTTCAGAGGATTGAACGGCAAGGGGCAACTGCTTCAGAAATCAGTGCTGTCAACTCTGGCGGGAGGATTTGCGTCCACTCCGTGTCCGTTTTGTCCGGGGCTCTGCTCTTGAACTTCTTGCAGCCGCCCATGAAATCCCTCATCACATCCGGAAGTTCTCGATGCTTTTTGGCTATGCGCGGGCACGCGCGACACAGCAGGGTCCATTTCTCCCGTTCCCTTGATTTCTTCCACTTGTAAATGCAGCACCTGTAGAACCCTTTCATACGAGACACCTTCTTGGCAGGATGCTTCTCACCATCCTCGACGGCCTTGTCGTAGGCAGCCATCCTAAGGCAGGGAAAAATTTGCTACTACGGTATTACCAAACATACAGCCAGCTGGCGAGGAAGAGTGACGGAGAAGGAGGCTGAGGAATACTAGCGGAGTGGCGAAATTGTGTGTTCAGCCAACCTTTTCAATACCTCTGCTAGATCTCTATAGATATATATATATAGATAGATAGATAGATAGATAGGTAGGTAGGTAGGTAGATAGATAGATAGATAGATATATAGACAGCTCATTAATATGAAATCTGTATGCAGCGGCATTTTAAGTGCAATGGGGACCAGCTGAGGGCAGGACAGGTTTTCCTTCTCCCAGAGGCTCGCCACTGGCTTCTTCCCAGTGCTGCACTTCCGCAAATCCTGGCCTGGCACCTTCCGCTTGTGTTGACGGAGGCGCTGTGATGGCTTCACGCTTTTCTTGGGGACGGGTATCAAATGGTCATATTCTGGCGCCTTCCTTTTTTTTCCGATTCTGGCCAGCCGGGCTGGCGGGGGCACAGCGAGTTGATTGCATGAGGATGCCCCCCTTGGGCACAAGGTTTGCCAAGAGCTTTCAAACATGGTCAAGGAGGTGAGAAATACAGCCTGCACCACCGTGGTGCTGAAACTGTTGCCCGCAAATGATTGGGCCATGTTCTTATCTGCCAAAATGCTTGTGTACACAGAGTCTGTAAAAGCCGAGCTCCAAAGTCCTTGGGCATTGAGAAAGTCCTGGGGCCCCAGGTAGCGTCCTAGCTCCACTGAATAGACAGGGTGAGACCTGGTTATACATGGAACCACGCCCTGCGCTGCGATCAAACGACTCGGGCCATTTGAACTGCAATCAACAAACATGCCAAGGTCTCCAAACGCATCTTTCATCGCAGCGCTGACCAAGTCAGTGTGGCGTCCAGGTTTCACTTGTTCCTTTCTCCTATCTGGGAAGTTCGTACGCAAGTCAAACTGGAAATTGCTCCTGAGACTCTCTAGACAAGCAGAAAAGCAGTGGGCCTTCTCCTTCTCGCTCACCCGACCATCATTGAGAGAAGCAATGCCCCACACTCTGTTGCGCCGCTGAGGCAGACAGTAGTTCCTTGAGTCCAGAATTGTGTACACCTGAGCGGCTTGATATGCCAGAATCGTGTATACCAGAATCAAATGGGGAATCCAAGGCGGAGATTCGGCAGCAATGTGTATATTTCTGCGTGTATTCGATATACAAAATATCTATATAGATATATACTTGTACAAGCGGCATTCTAAGTGTCCCCGGGCGAACATAAAGCTAAAAGTAAGAAAACCACACGTGCACACACAAACCACTTCAATTCACCATCTGGCTTTTCATCAATGCGGGGAAGCCTTTAGCCGTTTCGTTCTAAGCCCCAGGCGAAGGTGTATCCCAAGTTCTGAAGATGGGCAGATATGGCCTGTGAAACATCCCAAGCAAACCACGCTACATTCAACAAGACAATTGTAACAAATACATGCGCGCGTTCAAAACAGAACTGTCTCTACAGCATCTTCGCACCCCCCACCTTGACACCAGGCGGCTGCTCCTTTCCAAAGTTGTCAACAGTCTTCTCTGTCACTGCTTTCACATTTTCATAGAAGGCCAGAGCAGGGTGCAAAATTTCCACCACCTGCAGCAGCTGGGAAAGATCCCCGCACTTAGAATACCGTGGAGGGTCTCTCTATATATATAGATGGGGATGCACATCACTTACCCTATGTCCATCTATATTAGAAAAGTGTCTATTTGCCTGTATGTGTGTATGCATGCATACAAATGAGAGGCAGGGACTTCAACTAGAAAAAAGCTGAAGGAAACTAACCCCTGACCTTCTTGAAACCAAAGTGATACGTCTCTCCTGACACTCCTGCAATTTCCTCCTCCTGAGCATCGTAACATCCAGCGGCATCCTTTCGTTGGCCGTTGAGCCTGGAAAGCTGCGTGCAAACCGGCCCTGACAGCAGCAAATCGATGCCGCAGGACTCCTCGTTGATTTCAACGTACGTCCCGGTGACGTAATCATGGCCGCCGTGCTCCTTGAATACTTTCACGTCTCCAAAACAGTGTCTGGGTTTGTGTTCTGCCAAGAGAAAGCCTCGCTTCTGGTCATTCAGTTCGCATGAAAAGACGTGGTCAATTCGGATATCCGTTTCCTGCGGCGCTGCGGCAGGGCATTCTAAGAGCAATCGGTTGAATATCTACCTTATATCACCTTCCGTACTAAAGCTATTGTAAATGTTCATGTTATACTTATTATATATATATATATATTTATATTTATTTATTTATTTATATTTATATATTTATGCATGGCGACAAGCCGCCCAGAATAGAATACCCACATAAATGTAGAAACAGAATGTAGAAACAGAGTTTGGCTTGCTGGCGGCCTCGGTCTTGTTCAAATACTCCACTGTTTGCTTCAGGACAGTGATGCATACGTCAGTGCCGGAGCATGTGGTTCCGACGCGGATCACCCCGTTGCCACCGCGTGACTTGCAAAGATTTTTGAAGGTTCTCTGGAGAGCAATCTTGTCGGCAGGCTTCATCAAGTGGCTGAAGTACTGGGCCGTTTCTGTCAAATCCAAGCGCATCGGCACAGCAGCAGGGACTGGCCGAAGGTCTTGAATTTTGGCTGTAAAGACTTGATGCCTGTGTCTTGGTGCAACATCAACAAACTTTGCCATGTGGGGAGTGTCGAACATGCTGATCTCTTGAATCTCCCACCTCCAAACCTCTTTTGCAGCCTTCATGTTTGTTACTTGCTCTTTGCTGTAAACGGTCTGGCAGAGGTCCTTTGTTGATTCATCCTCCCAAGAAACTTGAATGGTGGCACCTACACACATTGTCCCGGAAACGCGATGGCCCTCTGAAGTCTGGACCAGCACATGGAGGTCGGTCCCGAACGACGTGGTGGATCTGGGACGAAGCAGGGCATCACATACACCTCCGGTGAGAGCATTCCATTCCGTTGCTGATACCAGAAGGCAAGTGCAAGCCACATCCTGCTTCAAAGGCGACTCCTGGACCGAAGGAGACTGAGAATCTTCGATTGTCTTGGAACCTTCTGATCCATTCCCGCTCTGCATTCTGCGGAATTTTGGGGAAGGTTCTGGGAGACTGCACGCGGAAGATTTTCGAGCGATGCCCACGAGCCTCTGCTCCTCCTCTTTTGTGGCACCCGCGGTCGTTTCACGGACCAGGAAGGAGGGAAACCAACACCAGACTTCACATTTCACAAATTCCAAGCGTGGTGGTGGATCAAAAGAAGTCACGAGCTGAAACTCCCATCCATAGACTTGACTGTCCGCGCCATTTCTACCTTCCCAGTCTTTTTCAAACTCTGCAGCCTCTTGTTCGGAAAGACGGTGGAGATCACGGTATCGCGACATCTGACCCAAAGGGATTGTGATGCATTGACGGTACTCCAAAATGCCCAGGATGAAGCGTCCCTCTCGAGGACGTATGGACAGAAAGCAGATTCTGTCTCCACAATTGAGAAAACGGCAGGCTCTGCTCCTCAATTCTAGAACTTTACGTTCATTCGCTGACGGCCCGAGAAATCGCTGGGCAAAGGTGTCTTTGACAAGTAGGCCTAGAAAGAAGTTGTCCTGTGGACGCTGCTTGACTTTCAAGTTTGTCAGTGCTTCCATCCACTGATCACGCGGCCGCTCCTGCAAGCATGACGCTCGGGGCTATCTAGCTATCTTTTGCTCTTCTACCTGTCGACATTTACATATATATTATATATGTGTATGTGTATATATATATATATTTGCTTCATTTATGTGTATTGTAGAAAAGACATGTTTACGCAAACAAATGCCGGCCTCAGCCTCCTCATTGCTGTCGTCATTTCCGAAGAGGTCAGCACCCTCAGGAATAGCCTCGAATCAACGTCAACAAACAGCGAATGCCTGTGTGAAAGGACCCTGCTATTTTGCATCAACTTACCTTGAAAAAAGCAGCTCCCTAGCTGGAAGCATTCTAAGTGCGAGGTTTTCACAATCAAACGGAAACAGAGGGGGGCACAATTCCGTGCACCCAGTGAAAGCTCTCTACCCGAAACCTTTGCCTGGGTGTGTTTCACAGATGCGGCAACTGCATCCCTGGCTGAAGATGTTGGCTCCTGTGATGGGCAACAGGTCCGCTCCCAGTTTCAATATGTTGCGCAAGGATGCAAAGATTTCAACTTACCTGGAAAAATCCCAGCTCCCTATAGGTGGAAGCATTCTAAGTGTCTTTTCGGCAAAAAAGAGAAACATGGGCCGCAGGCCCGCGCACCCACAATGAAAGCCCTTTGCCCAAGCCAAAATCCTTGCCTCGGTCGCGGCAGTGGCGTCATTGGCTGATGTTGGCTCCTGTCATGCGCGACAGGTCCGTTGCCGTCTCAGCATGTTGCGCAAAGATTCTGTGCGGATGCATTCTAAGTGCCAGTTTTTCAGCAGGAACTCTAACAATTGACCGTGTGTGTTTTCAATCTCGTATTAATTTTGAACACCATAACCAGTGGCTGGAAGCAGAAGCAATCAGTGTTGCGCTCAGCCACCTGCATTTGTTGCTCATGTCACAGTCTTGAAGCTCTATCTGGCGAACCAACAAGCCAGAACACTACACTGCGTGAGTCCTGTTGACTCCTTGTTTCACAGCACATCAAGATTGCATATAATTACAAATATCTATATACATAAGGAGCTAGGATGAGTTGTAATTAGAAAATGCAAGAAAAACGCTAAAGCCCAACCACACGGCTAGAGCGTGCATGTCTTCACCCCACTGCTTGGCACCGGGGTGTGACAACATCTAAGCAACGCTCCACACAAAATGGGAAGCATCTCTTGCCACGTCGGAACGAAGCACATGCAAGCTTCCCATGGTTGGGTCGATTTCTTTCTTTGGAGCCATCAACAATCATCAACAGAATCGGCGTCTCTTCGCGACTGGCATTTTCACACTCAAAGTGTTGTCCACTTCCTTGTTGGATAGGTTAAAGATTTCCCTCCCTGTTGGATTGCATGGGGCCGGCGTGGTGGAACCTTCCATGATTTTCCGCTCTTGAAGCACATTCCCAGGTAATGGTGTCCCAGAACGGTCAAGAAACTTGGCGAAGTGAATTGCCGGGTTACCTGGCGCTGGCGTGCAGGGAATTGCTCTGCGTCTGCGTTCTCGAATCACTGACAGCGGCAACGGCTCCATGCTTGCGAATGCTGCTGATGACTATAACGTGTGGCACACAGCCAAAACGGCTAATATCAAGCAAGGGTCTCAAATATATGGCCGTCCAAACGTCCTATTCAATTATGAACAAAAGACTTCAACCAGATTCGTCCACCTAGAGCACAACGCATGCCATTGATCTGGGCCTGGTGTCTGCTTATATATATATATACATACTTGGCTGAATCTCTGGTCTGCAGATATGTTTTTGTTTGGCACAAAACCATGTGCTGCCCTGCCGGTCCTCCGCATCTTTTGCTTCTGTTGCCACATCCTGCAAGGAAAAATCATTGGGCTGGAGCTTCCGGTATACCACCCGCTTGTCCAGATACAAAAATATATTATGCATATCAACAGGAAATGATGCAAATAGACGCAATTGGTGATTGAATAAACAGTTCATTTTTGACAAGTTTGAACCTGCTGCATCTTGAAACAAAAATGCAAAAACATGCATACCAGCTTTGGCGCATTCTAAGCGCAAGCCCCGAACCACGCACATCAGATATCAATACATATATGAATATATACACATATATTGTTTGAAGACACAGAAGTCATGAACAATGCATTTTAAAAGATATAGTATATATATATATCCATAGTTCTGGCCCGCTTTCTGTTTTGAATGCTTGACATGTTGCACCGGAAGTTTGAAAAAGGACATTGTAGAGGCATTCTAAGTGTTAGCAGGGTACCAATGAAAGCACTGTACATATACGGGGTCAGAGCAATCAATGAAAATAGAGGAATTGTAAAATTTCACAAGCCCAACCCGCAGACCTCACTCACATCCTGGATCTCATCATCCTGCTTCGTCGGCTCCTTCAGACACGGGCGCTGGAAAAAATACAAATCTTCATCAGCATACTGCAAAACATATGTAGGCAAAAAACGGATATTTTTATGTGTAATTATATATAATGTGTGTTTTCTGTGTCTTGTGTCTTTCCTGTGTCTGCAAATTCTTGGAAGAAACAAAAAATGCCCATCAGATGTTATCAGTCGAATCCTCCACAGCGTTGGTTTCCTCTTTGTCGGGCTCCGGTGCTTCAGAATTCTGCTTGGCCTTTGGACCGAGCTTTTGGTAGACCCTGTACTGTATTTTGTATATGTACGATAACTGAATATAAACATACATATATAAACAGAAACTCGTGAACAATGCACTCTGAAACATAATTTCATCAAAGAATATATATATATATATATTTGTGTGTGTGTTTTAAATTTATATATACATATATATATAGTTCTGGCCCGCTTTCTGTTTTGAATATTTCACTTTCTGCACCGGATGGTTTTGAAAAAGGACATTGTAGAGGCATTCTAAGTGCTAGCCAGGAACCAAACAAAACACGGCACATATACGGTGTCAGTTCAATCCATGAAAGCCGAGGAAGGGGAAATATCCAAAATAAACTGCGCACAAACCCAACCCGCAGACCTCACTCACACCCTTGGTCTCATCATCCTGCTTCTTCGGCTCCTTCAGAAACGGGCGCTGGGAAAAGAAGCACATTTACATCAGCAAACATTTTTTTGCAAAAAAACGAATCTTTTACGTGTATATACTCTGTGGTTCCTGCGTTTCTGTGTCTTCTGTTTTTCCTGTGTCTGCAAATTCGTTGAAGAAACCAAAAAAAGTGTCTATCACATGTCATCAGTCGAATCCTCCGCAGCGTTGGCTACCTTTTTGTCAGGCTCCAGTGTGTTGGAATCCTGCTTGGCCGGAGCTTTTGTTGGACCCTGCAAGTTTTATGTGTAGGATACCTGCATCCAAACATAGACACATATAGATAGAGATATATATATATATGTATATTGAAATAATACGCAGAAACTCTTGTGGGCAATGCGTTTCGATAAATAAACAACTATATGTATATATATATATATAAATAGTTCTGACGCACTTTCTGTTTTGAATACCTGACTTTCTGCACCGGAAGGTGTTGAAAAAAGAGATGGTGGGGGCCGTGGGGGCATTCTAAGTGCCAGCCAGGCACCAACAAAATACTGAATACATACATATAAATATACGGTGTCAGTTCTATCCATAAAAACGGGGGAATGGGAAAACTCCAAAATAAACTGCGCACAAACCCAACCCGCAGACCTCACTCACACCCTTGGTCTCATCATCCTGCTTCTTCGGCTCCTTCAGACACGGGCGCTGGGAAAAGAAGCACATTTACATCAGCAAACATTTTTTTGCAAAAAAACGAATCTTTTACGTGTATATACTCTGTGTTTCCTGCGTTTCTGTGTCTTCTGTTTTTCCTGTGTCTGCTAATTCGTTGAAGAAACCCAAAAAAGTGTCTATCACATGTCATCAGTCGAATCCTCCACAGCGTTGGCTCCCTTTTTGTCAGGCTCCAGTGTTTTGGAGTCCTGCTTGGCCGGAGCTTTTGTTGGACCCTGCAAGTTTTATGTGTAGGATACCTGCATCCAAACATAGACACATATAGATAGAGATAGATAGATATATACATATATATTATTAATAATAATACGCAGAAACTCTTGTGGGCAATGCGTTTCGATAAATAAACAACTAGATGTATATATATATAAATAGTTCTGGCGCACTTTCTGTTTTGAATACCTGACTTTCTGCACCGGAAGGTTTTGAAAAAAGAGATGGTGGGGGCCGTGGGGGCATTCTAAGTGCCAGCCAGGCACCAACAAAATACTGAATACATACATATAAATATACGGTGTCAGTTCTATCCATAAAAACGGGGAAATGGGAAAGCTCCAAAATAAACTGCGCACAAACCCGACCCGCAGACCTCACTCACACCCTTGGTCTCATCATCCTGCTTCTTCGGCTCCTTCAGAAACGGGCGCTGGGAAAAGAAGCACATTTACATCAGCAAACATTTTTTTGCAAAAAAACGAATCTTTTACGTGTATATACTCTGTGTTTCCTGCGTTTCTGTGTCTTCTGTTTTTCCTGTGTCTGCAAATTCGTTGAAGAAACCAAAAAAAGTGTCTATCACATGTCATCAGTCGAATCCTCCGCAGCGTTGGCTACCTTTTTGTCAGGCTCCAGTGTGTTGGAGTCCTGCTTGGCCGGAGCTTTTGTTGGACCCTGCAAGTTTTATGTGTAGGATACCTGCATCCAAACATAGACACATATAGATAGAGATAGATAGATATATATATATATATTGTATTTTTTCAAAATAATACGCAGAAACTCTTGTGGGCAATGCGTTTCGATAAATAAACAACTATGTATATATATATAAATAGTTCTGACGCACTTTCTGTTTTGAATACCTGACTTTCTGCACCGGAAGGTGTTGAAAAAAGAGATGGTGGGGGCATTCTAAGTGCCAGCCAGGCACCAACAAAATACTGAATACATACATATAAATATACGGTGTCAGTTCTATCCATAAAAACGGGGGAATGGGGAAAACTCAAA